TTTCAGATTACAGTAAAATTAAAGAAATTGGAGAATGGGGGGAAGGGGAAGGAACCAATTAAAAGGATTGTCTTTTCCATCCTCTGTGAAGCTCCAGCAAGATAAATTTGATATACAATTTGATCTTGGCTGAAAGGCCACATATATGAAACACTGAAGAAACACTTCCTTCACCAGAAATTGACAATGTGATAGGAAATTGTAGGTATTAGGTAGCTGAGTTATTAAAGTGATGTAATATAATACAGTTTTTTATGTAGTGGGCATTAATCTGGGACATGAAATGGTATTGTGATTATTCAAAGTTAAGGCAATATTATTCTGCTTCTGTGGTTCAAAAGAACATTAAAATGTATAAAGCAATTACATTAAGTGTTACAGGAAGAAAACTGAAGAGTACTGGTGTAAACAAGATTTTTAAATGATGAACTTTTAAGTAGACGTTTTTTGGAGATCGGGAAGCCAGAAAGCTAGTAGGCTGTGTTAAACTGTTTGAACTCCACATTTTTTTGAGTAAATACCTAAAAATATTGCGTTGCTAAACTGGATATGGAGAAGTGACTTATCTGAAACTTACTAAAGTTACTGCACCAACTTGGTTAAACTTTAAGTTCTACAATATTGATTTTGTTGATTTGTTTTAACTTTCACAAATAAAGCAGGCTACCAATACAGTTAAGTTATTAGGAACTATAATCAGTTTACACATCTGTATTTATAGTATTGAAATAACAAGATAGATATTTAGATCCTAGACCTTGGTGTAGTACAGGTTGTACTTCCCTTAAGGGACTCTGTGGTTCAGCACCAGCCACGGATGTTCCTAGAACACAGAGCCCAAGAATAGGGAGGTCGGGCAGTGGGGCAGGAGTACCAAGGGGGGCACCAGCGACTAAGCTGAGAGCCCCAGTGGATATGTCTTTGGGGAAGGAGTGGGAAATGGCCAGCACGGTGGGGAGTTTGGGCCCTGGCGGCTACAGCAGGGCTCCGGTTCCGGCTCTGGCCCTGGCTGCAGAGCTCCGGCCCTGACAGCAGTGAGGCCAGTGGCATCCAGAGAGCCGTGGGGAGCTGGGGCAGCAGTGGGACAGGCTGACACCCTAACCCAGTGGCAGCCTGGGGCAGGAGAGGAGGCACCTCCCCTGGTCTAGCAAATTCCCTCATTCGGGACCAGTTAGGTCCTGAAGGTGCCATACTGGTGAGCTCCAACCTGTATTTAGTTTAAATAGCATGGCGTAGCCCAAGTTTCCTTGAGTGTATGTGAAATTCTGATTTATCCCGAGTTAGAATTGATGTAAGGACAAATCCTAATTGCTGTTTTTGTAGAATCACCCCCAAACTAAATGTTCTTTATAAAAAATTGTACAGGTTCTCTCTTGCTGTGAGTCATGTGCCTATATAACACTTGTAAGGGAACCTATTCTCAAACATTGATATAAATGTTATATAGCTATTCAGACTAGGGATGTGAAAATGTAACCGTTTGCACAGCTAACTGATAATGCTGGGCTCATTGGATAATGTGCAGAGTTACATACATCGCCTCCTTACTGGGTAACTGATTACCCATTCACATAATCATTTCTGTATTCTGCTCCACCCTAGAGTTGATGCTTAGTGGTTGTTGGGGCCACAATCTCCATAAAATATACTGTGCCTCCAGTGGATATTAGAAGTGCTTGTACAACTCAAATCTTGCATTGGATGCTGATGCACCCTTTATAACTGATACAGTATTCGTCATTTGTATGTGCTTGAGCAGAGTTAGTTTCATCCTCTACATATGAAAGCTTATAATATTAGTAATATAGCAATAGCTGCACACCTGGTATAGACTTACAAATGTACAAAGGAAAAGAGGTGATCCTCTATTTGGGGGTGGAATGCAGGAAGAGGAAAAAAGAAGTGGAGACTTTTTGTTTTAAAGGGAAATGAAAAGGTTTAGACTAATCCTGCTAAATGCCACACATCTTACTTATTGATAATTGAAGCTTATGAATGCAAGTATGGAGTGTTTGAGACTGGTAGTAACTAAAAGACCAAATGCACATACTTAATTCTTTGAAAGTTACTCTCATCCTGATCCATTTTCCTCTTGATGATAAGATACGCACCACACAACTGTAATCAAAATTAACTTAGTGAACATAACCATTGTGCTAAGTGCTGTGCAGAACCTAACTGGAATATGTATTCCTTTCTCCAAAGAACTTGCTGTCTAGATACTTATGCTATTTATCTCTTTCCAATTTTTTATAAATCAAGGTAGAAGTGTATAAAGATTCATCAGACACTAAATGCTATCTGCTTCCTAATGTGAAGTACAGAAGGGTTTGCCAATAAAAGCTTTCCATGCAGGAGGAGAGCCATAGGAACTGTAGATACTGTACAGCTATGTTAACTATATGTGTGAGAGATTCTATTGTAACTAGGAGGCCTATGAGCTATATTGTTGCATTCAGTTACTTTTGTGTTGTGGGAGAGTATCAGATTTAGATAGGTTTTTTTTTTTTTTTTTTTTTATCTCTTCCAGTCCATTTTAGCAGGTAGAAACAGAATAATATAGGAACATGTCCCTAGGCAGCTCTGCAGACCACTAGTGGTCTATGGAGTACATTTTGAGAAACAGACTTTCTCATAGAGGGTGAAGGAGACAAAGTGAATGTATTGAATTCATGGGCTATCGATAGCTTAAGAGTTAGGCCACTTGAGAACTGCTAAGGACATTTATCACAAGTTCAGGATAGACAGGGCCACCTGTATAGGCCACTTGAGAACTGCTAAGGACATTTATCACAAATACAGGTGGCCCTGTCTATCCTGAACGTGTTAGCTTGCAAAGGCAAAACTTCCTTGTTAATAAAGAGAGAAATACAAATAAGATAGGTTCAGAGGGGTAGCCAAGTTAGTCTGTAAGAGGAAAAACTTTAAAGTGCTTCTAACTATTTGTTGTTTTTAAAGTCTAACAAAACATGTAGATGGTATCATGAGCTTTCGTGGGCACAACCCACTTTTTCAGATGACCAGAGTGTTGGAAGTCCAGATCCAAGAATAAATAAAGGAAGGAGGGAGGGGAAGAGGAGGGAAAAAAATGAAGGGGATGAAGAAAAAAAGAGAGAGTAGATAAGCTTCAGAGAGAGAGCCGAATGAGTCTGTAACAGGAAAAACTTAAACCTTTCCAATGTGTTATCAAAAATCTACAACCTATCTTAGAAAATGATCCCTCACTCTGAGGCCTTGGGGGAAAGGCCAATTCTTGCTTACAGATATCCCCTTAACCTGAAACACATTCTTTCCGGTAGCACAGCTACATCATGAGCATCTTGGAACCCACCCCTGCAATCAGCCCCAATGCCAACTCTGCCCACACATCTACACAAGCATTTTCATCACTGGACCCAACTACATCAGCCACCAAATCAGAGGCTCATTTAACTTCACATCCACTAATGTGATCTATGCCATCAAATGCCAGCAATGCCCCACTGTTATGTATATCTGCCAAACTGGACAGTCTCTATAGGAAAGAATTAATGGACACATCAGATATCCAAAAAGGCAACACACAAAAACCTGCTGGAGAACACTTTAGTCTTCCTGGACACTCAAAACAGTGACTTGGAGATCCATTCATGTTTCAGGCCAATTCCACAAGCTAAATACACAGAAAAGGATTGATGCTTAATGTCATTTACAAGTTTAATTCTTATGCTAATGGTTTGAATGTGATATCGGATGGCTCACATGTTATCAACCAACCAATGAAGGTGCTAATGGTTCTGGATGTCTCTGTAGAATCTGGTGTTGGCCATCTTCCTTTCGAAGTGCAATCTAATGGTTTTTCTCAGCCTCTTGTAACTTTTTTTAATCTTTTTGAGATACTACTAGAATATTGTTGTTTTAAGTTTTTCCTGTTAGAGACCCACTCAGCTATCCAGCTAAAGCTTATCTACTCATCGTCTTTTTTTCTTCCTCCCCTTCAATTTTTTTTCCCCTTCTCTCTCTCCTCCCTCCCCCCCCATTTATTCTTGGATCTGGACTTCCAACACTCTGGTCAAATAAGACAAGGTAACCTGCCATACTGCAGGCTGCTGAGCCCACTGCATTGTGCTCAAGGGCTCCTCAGGCCAGGCCCACTATGCTGTGCTGCAGGCATGGGGTGTGATATCCTGGTCTGCTGGTTAATAACTTACCCAGTAAGGATGATGATTACTGGCTAACCAATTAACCCTTTACATACCTAAAAGCTATACTTACCAAATGGACTACAACATAATATCTAAACTATATGAAAAAAAATTAAAAAAATACAAAAATCTTGTAGTTGATCTGTGAAAGAACGTATCTGTTCAAATGCTCTTGACCAAAATGGTAACTGCTGCATACAAAAATGGTAACAAATTTATGAGATGCCTGACAGTGTTTTGTAGTTGCTATTAATGATTAAATGTTGTATAGAATCAAAGCAAGCGTGTTTCCCTTTAGTTTTCTGTTTATGCTTTAAGAGTTTGAGTAGTGTCATGAATACAAGCTTCAAGAAGTGTTTCATATAGATGTCTTTTTCTGTGCTTTCAGCATATAGGCTAAGCATTAATATAGTCTCTCTGAAAGTGATAAATTGCTGAATGTTCCATGTTAAAGTACAAGACTGTATGCGTATGAAAATGTGCACCCCACTATACATGTGCTACCACACGGTACTGGGGATAGCAGCTCTGCCTTTTTGGAAAGATTTAAAATGGCTCCATCCTGCCACCAGAGTCACTGGAATTCTTCTACAGTTTTTGTTTAGACGAGAGCCCTGAAAGTTGGTGGTTGAAAGAAACTTTGATTTCCATGGATCAAATTCCCTGCAATGATTTCAAAGATCCTTTCTCTAGGTTCTAGATTCTCTTTTGTGCCTGGAATAGATGATGCCAATGCAGTAGACATTTTTGTATTTAAAAAATGCAACGTGAAAATTATCTGAATTCATTGATAATGGATGTATATGTGAATTTCAGGTTTACAGAAGACAAAAATGGCTCAAGAAACTAACCATAGCCAAGTGCCTATGCTTTGTTCCACTGGATGCGGATTTTATGGAAACCCTCGTACAAATGGCATGTGTTCAATTTGCTATAAAGAACATCTTCAAAGGCAGAATAGTAGTAATGGTAGAATTAGCCCTCCTGGTAAGTAATACTAATAAGTATTAGATTCATATCTAACATGTTAATTCCCACTTAAGCAAACCTTGTATACTACATTAGAGTGAGATTCTGTTCCTGCTCCAGCCCATTTTTTTTGAAGGAAGGGTTTTGATTTGAACTCTCTCCTTCCCTCCCCAGCAACTGATAACCTAAAGAATGAGAAATAGGGCAATTCACTGTACTGCTATTAGAAGTCTCTATTGTTTTACATAATTTTTTATTTGGCTTAAAATTAAATAAACGTACTATAGATAATCCTTTATATAAGTGTAATAATTGTTTATATTTTTGTGGCTTACGTTTATTTCTGGCAAGGTGGTATAAGCAATAAGTGTCCAATATCACTATAAAATGCTAAAAATTCTTTTCAGGGATTACTGACTTTACAGAGAACAACCTGCCAGGGCTGGTGAAAAATATTTAGAACAAAATCTAACTATTAAATTATGAAGGTAATTGATGCAAGATTAAGATTGACATTTCAAACACACAAATGAGGAAGCATTGCTTTAAGAGAGCTTCCCGCTGCTGTCTTGATTGTCATCTGGATTAAGACAATTCAAGGTTTAAGTTTAGAACATACTTCGTGTGGCCTTCCTGCATGTTGCTGTTGACCTGGAGCAGGACCAGAAGTTCTACCACTGACCACTTGGAGTGGGCAGCAGTGGTGACCAGGGACTTCTCCTTCCTCACCCCCAACTGCCTAGGGGAACTAGGAGACTCCTTCCACCCATTCCAAACAGTAGTCAAAGCAGCGACAGCTCTTCAAGGGCTGTCCCTGTGGGTGCTCCACAGCAGGTGTCAGTGTGCCCTAGCACCATTGATCAGAGTCTTTCAGAGCAGTGTCCTTGGAGTCATGCAAGTGAGGTACCTGGCCCATGTGTCTTCAGTGTCCTGACACTGTGCATGCATGGCTCCTCTCACAAGTTCCTCCTTTCCTGTCCTCAGCCAGAGATGGAGTGTTCCTCAGCATACTTCTTTGTTACAGTTCTCACTGGTTCTAGTTAGATCAGTAGCTGTTTTTTCTCTCCATTTTTTAGATAGTATTCTAATTCCATTTTTTCCCTTATTTTTTTTTCTTTTCCTCCTCATTATAGTTTAGACAGGATGCCTGGCTCATCAGATTTTAAATGTTGTATTTTCATACAACAAGATTGTTCCCATCTCATATGGGCACTCCTAATGTGTAAATTGTCTGGAGGAAGTCCATGTCCCCCACAAGTCCATAGCAGCAAGCTCAAACTAAGAGCTCTCAGGGACTGGGACCTATGCCTCAAACTCATTGTTAGAAAAATCCCTTTGTCCAGCTTTGTGCCCTTGTCTCAAATCTTCTGAAATCCCTTGGCCCATGAGAGAAAAGAGAACTTATAAAAAGCTCCTTTTCAGTACCGTAGAAAGTCCTTCCTGCAAAAGGGCGCACTGTGTGCACTTAAGTGCCAACTCCACCAGCCATGTTATGTCTCCGCACCTATATGATGCTCTGGGTGTCTTTTGGCATCACCTGCACAGTCACTAATACCAGTGTGCATCGATTCCTTGTCGAGGCAAAAGGCTTCAAGTTGCCTGTCTCTCATATTGTGGCATCCTCCAGACCAATTCCTGCACCTGCAACTAATGCCGTACCGCCCCACCAGCACTATGGAGGCACCAGCCACCTTCATGTTGCAGTGAGCATCAAACTAATCTGTGGCACCACAATTGACCTCTGTGCAGCCTCCCATGGCACTGTCTACCCCAGCATCACAATTCACTCACCAGGAAGACCCCTTAATATCTTCAACTTTTAACTTTCCCTTCCTCTGCAATGATTTTTCACCAGGTACTCTGGCACTGTTTATCACCTGTGGACTTCTCTGAGGGAGATGAGGCTCACCACACAACTCTTCCAACTGATCCATTTTTTCTTGACATGTACTTAACCCAGATGTGCCTCTCCCCCCCGCCTTTCCTTCTCCCCAGTATGGACAACCATGGTTGGCACCTCTTGTACCTTATCCAAGGCACTGGCAGTACTGGAACCCATTAGGAACCCTACTGCAGACACTGCTCTAAGCACAGCACTGTACTGCAAGAGACATCCTCACCCTATGGGTATGTCTAAATTACATCCCTTTTTCAATAAAGGGATGTAAATTAGACATATCAAAACTGTAAATGAAGCTGGAATTTGAATTTCCTGCCCTTCATTTACATAATGGCGGCCGCGTTTTTTCTCTCGAAAATCTGCTTTTGGGGGGAGGAGGAAAAACGCGGTCAAGACCTGGACCATTTGACAGAAATGCCCCATTTCTCATGGTTACAGGATCTTTCGAAACGGGGCATTTCTATCGAACTATCCCTGTCTTGACCGCGTGTGTGTTTTTTTGTTTGTTTGTTCTCTCCCCCTCCCCCCCCAAAAAGTGGCTTTTTAAAAAAAAGCCGCAGCCACCATTATGTAAATGAAGCGCAGGAAATTCAAATCCCAGCTTCATTTACAGTTTTGATATGTCTAATTTACATCCCTTTATTGAAAAAGAGATGTAGGTTAGATGTACCCTGTTAGTCTTCACTTATATAACAGCAACAAGAGGAAGGAGACCGTACACACCCACAGCCAGAATGCCCTGACATATCCCCCGCTACCAACTCCTCCTCCTTTTTCAGACGAGGCCATCATGCCACTTCCCCCGCTGCTGCTGCTGACTTTACTCCTTTTCAGGAACTTTTTAAACACATTAGGAGCAGGGCTGAACATTGCCTTAGAGGAGGCTGCAGAAAACCAGCACAAGATCACTGATATTTTGCAATCTGTAACATCTTCTTCTAAGATTGCTCTACCAATTAATCCTGCAGTAACAGACCCAGCCAAGACCATCTGGCAGGTACTCACCATCATAACACCAACCTGCAAGTAAGTGGATAGAAAATATTATGTCCCAACCAGAGACTCTGATTTCCTCTTAACTCACCCTGCTCCCAACTCACAAAGAATTACTCAAAATTCAATGACTATATTAATGGCATCCCAGATGCAAAACAACAGTTCAAAGCTGTCATAGCTGAGGGTCATTCAACTTTGCACACGGCCTTGCAAGCAACTCTTGACACTGCAGACATAGCAGCAAGGTAGTTATGAGGTGGGTATCTTGATTCATCTCTACCGATTTCCCACATGAGAGTCAATCCACAGTGCCCTACATACCATGAAGGACTCTATAGTCACACTTCTATTCCTAGGTACCCACGCACCAGCACCTAACTCTAAATACAGAAATTTCCCACACCTCGATAGTCTGTATATGTGTAATGCAACCAGAGACACCAGAACAACCTCAACACAATAGAAACAAATCTCAGTGCTGTTGCCCAATCTGAAATAACACACCTCAGCCCCCTTAACCGAACAAGTAAATTTGAAGGCTTTGTCAAGGATTTGGAAAACCTCTCTCTCTCTCCCTCTCTCCCTCTCCCCCTCCCCCTCCCTCCCTCCAACATCACATCCTCTTCTAAATTGTTTGAACACAGTCTCCTCCCATTTTACCATAACTGGCGGTCTTACATTGGACAAATGAGTGTTGCAGACAGTACGCTTAGGATATACCATCCCCTTTATTTCTATGGTCCCCGAAGGACCAGATAGGGAGTATTCTCAAGAGTTATTGCTCCATCAGGAGGTCCAGCACTTCCTCCAACCCAGAGCTATAGAACTGGTCCCAACCCAATCTGTAGGAAAGGGCTTCTATTCTCATTTTCTTATGGGGAAGAAAAGTGGGGGATGGCACCCAGTCCCTGATCGTAGAATCCTTAATGAAAACGTTAAAGAACAGAGATTTAAGATGGTGACCCTTGCAACTATTATTCCAGAACTGGAGTAGGGAGACTGGTTTTCATCCCTTGATTTACAAGATTTCTATTCATCTGGCTCTCAGATGTTTTGTCAGGTTTATTCTAGGTTCCAGCCATTATCAATACAATGTCCTATCTTTTGGCCTCTCTACTGCCCTCGGAGTCTTTTCCAAAATCCTAGCAGTAGTTACAGCTTATTTCAGGAAGCAAGGGGTTATTGTTTTTCTCTGCCTGGATAATTGTCTCCTGAAAGCATGCTCCAGGCATGACTTCCACTGGAGAACTTCTACTACCATTATGTGTTTCAACTCTACCAGCCTACAAATAAACAAAACAAATCAACATTTGCACCAACACAAACCATACAATTAATAGGAGCTCAACTAGATGCAACAAGTGCTACTGTTTCCCCATGCTCAACAGATTGAAACTGATCAAGGACCTGTCCAACAAACTGCAATACAGCCCCCAGATCATGGCTCTCAACTGTCTCTCAATTATTGGATCACAGGGCCATGTGTAATGCAATTGTCCTGAATACATGTCTCTTTATGTGCTGCCTGCATGGATGGCTCAGGAGAATGTACAGACTGAACATACACCCTCTCTCTAGGTCCCTTTCTATCTTCCATCAGTAAAACACTCTCTGACATGATAGACGCTCACTACAAACATTTGCTCAGGGGTTGGGTTCATGACAAAAGAACTTTCAATGACCATCACCACAGATGCCTCCCTTATGGGATGGGGTGCGCATCTGGGATCACATACCTGTCAGGGATTGTGGTTCAACACAGGAAACACATGGCGCATAAACATTCTAGAGCTCCATGTGGTTTGATACACCTGCAACCGATTCTTCTCCATCGCCAACAAACATGTCAGTCTACACAGACAATGTAACTTGCATATTTTACATAAATAGGCAAGGTGGGGCCCACTCACATGCAGTCTCCACAGAATCTATGACCCTATGGACTTGAACACAGTAGAACAACTGCTTTTCACCTTCCAAGAGTTCTCAGCAGTACTACTGATGTTCTCAGCAGAACTCTTCCCACAAAGCATAAATGGCAGGTCAGCAAAAAAGTTAACAGCTTCATCTTTGATGGGTGGAGTCATCCCACCATAGACCTTTTTGACACTCTCAGCAACAAAAATTTCCAATGTTTCTACACAGTGGGGATGGGCAAAGACTCTCTGGGAATATCTTCTACACATTAAGCAATCAGCCTCTCCATGAGCTCCATTACAGTACGTCTTGCCACCATCACAACTTCCCATATAAAGATTGAGAACACATCCATATTTGCACATCCAATGACCAAGAGATTGCTCAAAAATCTCTAGGCACTCTATCCTGATATCAAATGACTGGTTGAACCCGGGGATCTCCACCTGATCTTAAATGCTTTCACATCTCTCAACTTGCTCACTGCTCCAGCTCTCAATGAAGGTAGCCTTTCTAATAGCAGTCAGCTAAGAGAGTGGGAGAGAGAGCTGCACTCATGGTGGAACCACCATACTCTAGGGAGGTGTTAGGATACACATTTAAATGTTTAACTGAAGAACCTGGACTCATCGGTTAACCTTCACAGTTACATGTGCTTCCCTTCTCTCCCCCCCTCCCTTCCCCCAGTATCAGAGGGGCAGCAGTGTAGCTGGGGGATAGGCAGGAGCTGGTGCTTGCAGGGAGCTGGCTTTTATAGCTACAGAGGCAACAGCACGGGGGGAGGGACAGGCAGAGCATACCAGCTCCTGCGGAGCCACCTGTGCTCTCTCCTGCACTGCTCCTGCCTACTCTCTGTCCTGGTGCCTCTGATGCAGAGGAAACAGAAGTGGGGGTGGAGGTTGCTCTGTGGGAGCCAGTCCTTGTGGGGAACTGGCTTAAAAGCCATTTCCCCACATGTAAATGTAACCTCTGAAAGTTTCAGAGTTACATGTTTACAAACCCCCCCCCCCCCCACACACACACACTTTTTAGCATCCCTACCTTGAACAGTGTTCTTGAAGACAAAGTGTCCCTCTATGCTCACTCTAAATTCTTGCCAAAATTCACTCCTCCTTCTGCATGAATCAAATTATCCACCTTCCTACATTCTTTCCGAAGCCACATGACAGCTCCTTCAAGTCAACAATGTGCACACTGGACATTTTGCAGAGCACTTTCTTTTTATGTCCAAAGAACAAAACCCCTCAAATTTTCACCTGAATTATTCATATCCATAGCAGACCGTAACAAAGGTAAAGCCACCTCCTCATTGGGACTTTCACACTGGATCGCGGACTGCATCCTGGCTCTGCTACAACTCCAACCAGGCTAATCCTCCTACCGTCATCCAAGCACAGTCCACCAGGGCTCTAGCTACTTCCATAGCCTTTCTACACAAGGTCCTGATTGTTGACATTTGTAAAGCTGTCACATGGTTCTCTGAGCATACTTTTGCCAAGCACTATGCATTTACACAGGGTCCACTTTCTGATATCAGTGCGGCTAAGGCCATTTTATCCACAGCTTTTTCTACCACATCCAAAGTCTCTCTGTCTCTGTGAGCAGGTTACTCACCTGTGCAGTAACTGACAGTCTTTAAGATATAGTTTTCAAGACTTCAAGTCTTCCAGTTTAACTGGAAACTGCATGCAGACTCTGGTAAACCTCACTGTATGGATTACTTTCAGGTCATGTGTTTACACTTTTCACCATCACTAGGGTTAGAGACTCATTTAAATGGCAATTTGTGGTTCTGATATCCTTTGACTCTAGGATCTGGGCCCCTAGGCATGGGTCTGTTCTAAGAGTTTTTTTTCAGTTGAATCTTCAGGTATCTTTAAGTATGTTACTGCAATTCTATCTTGATGAAAGTTATTTCTTGTGTGTCTCTTGTTTCTGTATGTGACCTTTTGTTTTTTGTTTGTTTAAAAAACCCAGCAAAAATACTTCAGGAACATAATATTTTGGCCCTAGAGAACGTGGTTCCTCCATTTCAAAACTTTCTGTAGGCTAGACAGTGAAAATACGTTCTACTTTGTTTGGCGAGAATCATACCTCTTTCAATAGAGGTGGTATGATTCATCATACTAACTGATCCTGGAGGCAATGCTTTTGGTAGAATGATTCAATGAGCTACTTGCCAGTTGGCTCAGTAACAAATTTGGGTCAACACAGATTCCGTCCATAGTGTTCCCATGGCTTATGTCTCTCATTTCAATTGAATAAACAACTGAAGAAATTTGCATTCTAGTTCAGGCAGTGTGTTTGGATATAGATGCACAACATAATACCTTCAGAGATACTTCTATAGTTCTTTGGGTTTAATCTGTGTTATTTTACATACTTTTTAACTACTTGTTGACTGGGAGTACGTCAGGTAGAAAGCATAACTTGTGCTATATCTACTATATATAGATACTAATATGCCATTCAGTTCAGCTGCATATTGTTGCCTGATGCATTGCTAAAAGTTCAGTTGTAGATCCATTATGAAATGCCTTTGCGTATACAGGGGCACGTGGATACAGACCCCAAATATTCTGTGGTATTGGTCTCTTACAAAAATACAAAGTTGAAATAACAATTACTGGTAGATGCTTTTGAATAATTTAAGACAATCGTGTTCTCTTTTGATTAATGCTACTTTTTTGAAATATGTACAGTTGGAGCCTTTCAGTGGATAAGGTTCAGAAGTGGGCAAATGTGATCAAACTTAAGTAATTACAGTACAATATAAATCCGTTAAAAATGGAGAGTGAGATTCAGCAAGGAATTTCAGTATATGTTAGCGTCGCTTGCTGAATTGGAACCAGATAGCAGAAGAATCTTTGTTATGGATAAATTCTATAGCTCCAGAAGGCAGTGTAACTCATTTTACATTATTGTCTGTCTTTCAGCAACTTCTGTCAGTAGTATAACTGAGTCTTTACCAGTACAGCACATAGAAGGCAGTGTCCCGGAAACTCAGTCATCATTAGACTCTACATCTACCCAGTCTATGCAGCCAAGGTAAACTATCTTTTCTATGCTTATTAATCAACACTATACATACAAAAACTGATATAAATATGATTGTTTAAACTAAGTCGTGAGCCTGAGTAATTGGACATTAAAAATTGGGAATGAGATCAGCATTTTGATCTTGGTTACTTAATTGATACATAGATCTCATTTTTACTATTATACAAACAAAATATTTGAAAACAAGATTATAATTTGTAATTTGAAGTCTCAAATGCTAAAATCTCTGCAGTGACACCTCTCTGGTGATAGGAAAATCATATCTGAACTAGGACAGTCTATAAAGTCTCATCATTCCACAACATGCAGTTTGGCGGAGAGGGGGAAGTTTTCTGAAGAGGAAAATAAGAGTTATTAATTTAAAAAAAAATTAAACTGGGCTGGAAAACTCTTCTAATTGCAATTCTTTATGGACTCGTGATATTGAACTGCTTGCTTCATTTAATCTAATCAGAAGAAGTATCATCTAGTGCAGGGGTTGGCAACCCCTGGCATGCGTACCGATTTTTACAGCATGCAGGGCGGGACCTCAGCCTTGCCCCCCACCCCCAAGCAGCAGGGATCCAGTGCAGTGACTCCAGCCTTAGCCATGCAGTTGCATGTTGGAGAGCCAGCTCTGGCTTTCTGCTGAGGCTGGGGGGAGTGGGAGAGGCATGTGCATGCATCCCTCGGGCTACTTCATGATTCGGGATGGGGTAGGGCCTGGGCCTGCTCCACAGAGCCGGGGCTGGGCGGCTGGCACACGTGGTGCGCCGGGGCCCAGGCTGTGCCATGCTGCTCCCCGTCCCTTCCCCAGCACCCCACTGCTCCCAGCTGGGCTGGAGCCAGTCCTGGGCAGCACCAGGCTCTGCTTGCCCTAGTCCTGGAGTCAAAGCCTGCTGGCAAAGGGCTGGGTTGGCAGGGAAGAGACTCTGTCTCCTCGCCTCTCCTTGCCCCAGTACTACTCCCAGGGGATGTGAGTCCCAGTGTTGCTGTCTTGCTGGTGAGAGTGCTGTGGGGCCAGGGGGAAGGAAGGAGGATGTGAGGACAGGATGGGAAGGGGCAGGAGTTGCCCTGAACAGGAATGGGGTGATGCAGCGGATCAGGCTGCAGGGGCAGGGTGGGAGGGTGCGGGGGTTGCACTGAGGGGTATCGGGCAATGCAGGGGATCAGACTTGGGAGGGATCACGTGACCTGAAGGGATCAAGGCAGGAGCAGAAGGAAGATACAGTTTTATTTTGCAGAAGCTGCACTTTCCTTTACTTCCCACTTATTTTGTTTCCCTCCCCAACTAGCTATTTGGCCGCATTCTCACCCTCTCACCTTTTCTGCATTACTCCCCCAACTCCCTCCTCCCCCCAAACTCGCTCTAGTACCCCCATCCCACACCGTCTCCTGCTGTCAAACTCCGTTCTAAATCCTGCCCTCCTCACCCAGTCCTGCACCCTACCTCCCATCCAGATCCTGCATCCCTGTCCTACTCGCTGGCAGCCCTGGCCCTCACATTGAACCCCTCATTTTTGTTCCCACCCCAGAGCCTAAAGGGGTCCATAAAATCCGCTAACTATGGAACCCCAGAAGAGTAAATCTGGCCTATGGGAAGCCCTGAACCTCAGTCTTCCCTGTCCCTTCCTCTTACCCTTTGGGGGCTGGAGTGCCAGATGAGTGAAGTATCTCAGTTGGGGGCCATATCAGTGAGGGTTGGGGGTTTTGGGAGGAGTGTGTGTGGTTTTTTTTTTTTTTTTTTTTGCTTCTCACTTGTGTGGTCCCCATCTTTTTTTTTTTCCCTATGGGTCAGTGACCCTCCCCCCCCCCCAACCCAAAAAAGTTTCCCCACCCCTGCCATAAAGAAAATATTGGAGCCTTTTGTGTTGGATGTAATATTTCACTTTTATTTAAAACGAAGTTTGATAAACTAACATGAGAATGCTGAATCTGTTTAATAATTTTAAATTAAACCGTTCTTCCCAGCTGCAGCACTAGCAAAACGGCTCGGGCGTAATTTTTTAATTAACGGTGAGTTTCCGTTAGCAACTGGTAGTCTGCAGAAAGTTTTGCATTGACTCAAGTGGTCTATGGGGCACGTAGCGGAGAGAGCGCCACCCTCCGTCCCGAGTGAGTAGCACAGCCCAGGGCAGGAGGGTTAAATCTTGGCACGCCACTTCAGAAAGGTTGCTGACCCCGCTCAGACCAGGGGTCGGCAACCTGCCAGGTATGGCACAGCACGCGAGCTGATTTTCAGTGGCACGCAGCTGGGAACTCGTGCTGCTGTTCCCGCCGGGTGGCTAACGTACAGCTGCGAGGCGCAAAAACAAGCTCTGGCTCCTGCACTCCGGGCCCTTTCAAACGTCCCGGGCAGCTGCACTCAGATGATGCACGGTGTCTGGCCTGTCGCAGGAGCTGAACAGGCTCCCCTATGAGTCAGTCTACAGTGTTTGTTTACAGCGGTTCTGTGAGTAACTTGTATGTGCTACAGGCTTCTCCTAATGCCCCTTCCCCTCGCAGCAGTGCTCACTGTTTGTGAGGGGAGGGAAGAGGTGGGCAACAGCCTGCTCGGAATATCAGCGTGATGATGCACGGTGTCTGGCCTGTCGCAGGAGCTGAACAGGCTCCCCTATGAGTCAGTCTACAGTGTTTGTTTACAGCGGTTCTGTGAGTAACTTGTATGTGCTACAGGCTTCTCCTAATGCCCCTTCCCCTCGCAGCAGTGCTCACTGTTTGTGAGGGGAGGGAAGAGGTGGGCAACAGCCTGCTCGGAATATCAGCGTGTGGGGATAGGAGGTGTGGGCACTGCCTCCTCTCAGGCTGCCCAGGTGTTGGGGCCAGGAACTACGCTCTTCCCAGGGTGCAGGAAGCCTCCCT